GGCTGATGGTGGGTGGGATGTGTGTGAAGTTGGTGTTCAAGCTGTTCAAGTAGGTAGCCTAGCTAAATGTATGCAATTTTGGCGCATGATGGGGGCATCTAGGTTTATTCAAACCATAGTACTGCATGGATACGCACTGCCCTTCATAGAGGTCCCGTGTGCAAGAGAATTTGCAAACCACCGCAGTGCATGTGAGAATGCCGAGTTTGTTTGTGACTCGGTGGAAAGTCTGCTGAACCAGGGTTGCATTCAAGAAGTAAAAAGGGAGGATGTTGTAGTCACCAGTCCGTTAGGCGTTGTGAACAACGGCAAGAAGCTACGACTCATTGTGGACTTGAGATATGTAAACAAGCATTTGCAAAACTTTAAGTTCAAGCTCGAGGACATGAAGGTCGTGGCAAATGTGTACTCTCAGGGAGTTTATTTGGTAACGTTCGATTTGAAGAGTGGGTACCATCATATTGAAATTGCGAAGGCGTATTGGAAGTACTTAGGTTTCTCCTGGGTGGGGAAGGGGGGTGATCGCAGGTGGTTCGTTTTCCGTGTTCTGCCCTTCGGTCTATCCACTGCCCTGTACATTTTCACGAAGGTAACCCGTGTCTTACAAAAGACACTGGCGGAGGGACGGAATCAGATGCCAGCTTTACATGGATGACGGGTCGGGTGGGCACTCTACGGTCGAGGGTGCACAGGCAGTAGCGAAAAGATTGAAATCAGATCTAGTTCAGGCCGGATTTGTTCCAAACGAAAATAAGTGCCACTGGGAGCCCTCACAGACGGTAGAAATGCTTGGCATGGAAGTCGACATGAGGGAAGGGATCATACGGGTCACTAAGGGACGGGTGGAAAAGCTGAAGACGTTTGTAGAAAAGCTGTCACAGGTCGAATATCCAACTGCCAGACAATTGGCCAGGCTTACGGGGTATTTGATATCTATGTCGCTGGCATTAGGCCCCGTTTGCAGGTTGAGGACAAGGTCATTTTATGCACTGATTATGAACCGTGAGTCGTGGCATGCAAAACTCAGCTGGTCTCAAATGGCGCTTCAAGATCTGGAGTTTTGGTCTGGCTCGTTTAGTCAATGCCGCGGTCAACCTTTTTGGAAAAAAGACCCCAGGGTGACAGTGCTCTCGTGGTCCGACGCGAGCGACTCTGGCTGGGGAGGTTTCTCAGTTACATCAAAAGGAACTGAATTAGCTAAAGGGGAATGGACCAAAGAAATTGTGCGGGCTAGTGCCAGCTCCACATGGCGTGAGCTGCGAGCTATTTTGTTGGTTCTGAGTTCGCTGTCAAAAGAGATTGAAGGTGGCGTTTGCATTCACAGAAGCGATAACCAGGCAGCCGTGCACATAATACAAGTAGGCAGTTCAAAATCTCATTTGCAGAGCGAAGCACTGGAGATTCACAAGCTGTGCGCCGTGCATGGTATTCAGTTGCTGGCAGAATGGGTGCCTCGCGAAGAAAATGAGGTGGCCGATTACCTTTCAAAGCTGTCTGATACGGATGACTGGCAGTTAAATCCCAAATTGTTCGATTGGCTTGATTCGATGTGGGGCCCTCACAGCATTGATTGCTTTGCAAGCAGCAGAACAAAGCAAATGAGTAGATTCTGCTCAAGTCGGTGGAATCCGGGGTGCTCGGGTATTGATGCATTCACTGTGAATTGGAGCGGAGAAAGAGTTTGGCTGGTACCACCAATGTACTTGATAGGGCGTTTGGTAGATATGTTGATCGTGTCAAAATGCCACGGTAATTTGGTTGTTCCAGAATGGCAATCGGCGCCATGGTGGCCAAAGTTGCATAGCGGCCCAAAAAGGGCAGAATTCGTTAAGGAGGCAATCAGCCTGCCAAAGTCTCATGATACCTTCCTGGAGGGTACTTGTCCATACAATGACATGGGTGGCATAGTGAGTCCTTGTGACGTGTATGCACTACCCATTTGTACAGTGACAAACTGTGTTTGTTAGAAGAGGGATGCTGAAATTCCCCGGCCGCTGGAGTTTTTCTCTGACGGAAAGATGTCTGTTTGTGGAGCATGTGGTGATGAGCGAGAATGCGTGCATGCAGTGTCTGCGAGGTCCTGCTGCAGGATGTCCCCACTGCGGGGAGGTGATTGTGCTCTGAGCACGTAAGCAACTGCCTGGCAGTGGAAAGCTGTGGGTGCGGGTGAATGGCAGGAGTGGTGGAAGATCGCCAGGTATAGCGACGACATCCCCCTGGGGGAAGAAGGAAGCTGACGAGTCGACTGCACTGACATAGCCAGCTAGGAAGCATTGACAGAAACCATTCTATTCTCTGTTCAGAACCAGCCAAGGGCAACCTCTCAGAGGACATGAAGGCGCTGGAACAATGTCTGCCATCCATTATGAATATGAGTCGGGCACCAAGAACTGTGAAGAAGTACGACTCTGCTTTCTGTAGATGGAGCAAATGGGCAGAGCGTAAGAAGGTGCCTCATCTGCCAGCAGACCCATTTCATGTAGCCCTATATCTGGTCTACATCATGCAAGATGCCAAAACTGTCAGCCCATTGGTCTCAGCCGTGTGCGCCTTGTCATGGAAACATGATATCCAGGGATACCCAGACCCATGCTCTAACGGGGTGGTGAAGAATGTGATGCAGGCAGCCAAGCGCTCTCTGGCTCGACCGAATGATAGAAAATTGCCATTATCAAAACCACTTCTGGAGCGCCTCCATCGAGAACTGTCAAGCTCATCACTGCAAGACCTGCAGACCCTAACCCTCATAGTACTGGGTTATGCCGGTATGATGAGGTGGGATGATTTGGCCAACATCTTCGTGGATGAGGTAGCCATCAAGTCATCACATATGGCGGTCTTCCTGCAAGTTTGCAAGAACGACCAAATGAGGCAAGGTAGCTGGGTGTTCATCAGCCGATGGGAGAGTGACCTGTGCCCGGTATCGCTAGTAGAGCATCTGATTGAAAAAGGAGGGCACCAAGGTCATGTCAAGCTGTTCGGGCGTATAGCTCGTGTAAAGGGCAGGACCGCCATCAAGCACTCGCTATCCTACAGCAGAGCAAGATAGTTAGTGCGTGAAGCTCTGAAGCGTATCGGCGTAAACCCAGATGGGTATGGTTTACACAGTTTGAGGTCGGGAGGTGCATCCACGGCTGCTGCAGCAGGAGTACCAGATAGGCTCATTCAGCGACAGGGAGGATGGAGAAGTGATGCTATGAAGGCTTACATGCAGGAGTCCCTGCCCAATCTGCTGCAGGTGTCCCAAGTGCTAGCTGTGTGACTCTACTGCTATGCTTTAGCGTCCTTGCTGTGGCTGTCCCCCCGCAGTTGTTATTCTGTGATGAGTGTGTGTGTGTGTATGTAAGAGAGAGAGAGAGAGAGTGTGTGTAGGTGTGTGTGTGTGTGTGTGTGTGTGTGTGTGTGTGTGTGTGTGTGTGTGTGTGTGTGTGTGTGTGTGGGAGTATGTGTGCAGTACTGACGTGTGAGTGAGAAAAGAATTTTTCATTTCTTGTTGGCTGAGTTTTACGAAATAAACAAGAAATGTTGTTCTTTTCGAACGAACAGGTCTGGGACCGAGGTCCGACAGTTTTGGGCGTACTGGTACGCCGCAGTCCCTCATCTTTTGTTTTCTTGCTTTGCAAGCTGGTTTCCCACCCTCCCTCCCAATGAGGAGCTTTGTACGGCTTCACACACGGGTCACGATTGTGAGAGTGCTGCGTTACTCTCTCTCTCTGATAGATTTCTTAATATTGCTGCTACAATACAGGTTATAAGTTGTGCGAGGCGTGGAATGTGCGGATGCTCAGTCGATTGCTGTGCTTTTCTGTATGATTCACCTCGCACAACGCTGTCACTCTAAGAGGTGTTGTTTTCGCTGGACGTTTTTTCTGTCTGTGTTCTGGACACAAGAGTGCAACAAGCCTTGCTGTGGCTGTCCCCCCGCAGTTGTTATTCTGTGATGAGTGTGTGTGTGTGTATGTGAGAGAGAGTGTGTGTAGGGGTGTGTGTGTGTGTGTGTGTGTGTGTGTGTGTGTGTGTGTGTGTGTGTGTGTGAGTATGTGTGCAGTACTGACGTGTGAGTGAGAATAGAATACTCGTTACAAGACAAGAGTTTGAAACCAGCGGGGTTATTTACTCAAAGAACTTTATTGAAAATCCATGATAATGTGATTGGAAAGATGTTTGAAGAAAAATCCAAAGTCAAACCCAGGCAATTATTAGCAGTCACTACTATCAAAGGGTTTACCGAGTGTTAGCGGCCGTCGTGAGTTCCCTTCGGGAACGGACACGATAATTTTCTTTTACTACTATCAAAGCAGATCATTATCTGCAATAGCGGGGTTATTTGCTAACGACGGTAGACCTGTACATGTATTAAGATGAGCCATACCAAGGCAAGCATGTTGGCTTTAGCCTACTCTAGATAACCTGATCTCTTGTCAAATAGTAACAAGCATACATGTACAATTTCATGCCTATGTACTATAAAAGGCCATGTCCATGATTAGGCCCATCACTCCCCTAGTCAGATAAGCTCACGCGTTCACCGACAGAATTCTACAGTCAGTATATTTCGACTCTAAATAAACAAACATGTTGTGCAAAGCAGAACACGTTATCTGTTTGAATACACACACAGAGTCAATAGTATTGTATTAGGGGTCGGTGACATTTTGTCGTCCCTGAAACAAACATCGTTCCTTTGAGGGCAGTGGTTTCAGCTAAAATCTCAAGTCGACTGACACTGTTCATACATATGTATGTACATGTGATTGTCGTCGTCTAGCATAGCAAGCTGCGTTCATTTTGGAGGGTGGGAAGGGGTCCGAGTACTAAATGAACCATGTGCATTTCAAGGACAACTAAAAACCTTTGCGACTAAAAACATGTATTCTGATCAATGTGATAGAAAACAACTGCTGAGATTGCTCAGTCCATTGTGTGGGGAAATCCTAAGCAGAATTTATCACACACATACAGGAGTACGCCACTTGATGCTAACAGAGCGGGGCACTTACAAGAGACGCAGATTGTGGGACGTTCTTTGGTGCAGGAGTCTTGACCTACTGTGTTGGTTGATGGTTGGTAGGTAGTGCAATGAGACCCATTAGTGGCGTTGGTGTATACCGGTATGTTGGTGAGGTTGTTGTCACGCAAGACTTGCGATGTATTCAGCAGTTGTGAGGCACAGCTGAAATCCTGCCCGTCTGTAGACAATGGACGACCACCATATTGTTGATAGCACGTCTGGTTTGCATGATCTGCTGAGAATGAGATGCTATGGTATGTATACATGTGTGAGTCACACACTATAGAAGCTGCTTGTGTATCTACAGCCACAAACAAGAGTAGAACGGACATACAATCATGTCGTCTCAGACAGTGCCATACTTTATGCAGAGTATTGGTTTCTGCCAAGAGCTTTGTATAACACTTGTTCATACCTGAGACACTTTATGAAACGTGTTGTACCAAAGGATGTACCCAGAGTGCTGATAGTGCTCAACACCACAAAGGCAGAGCGTAATACACAACAGAACAACAAGGACAATCAAGGCTTGTCTGCTGCTACTTTAAGTTTCATGCTCACGCAATCATCAGGCAACTGTTGCCTGATGATTGCGTGAGCATGAAACTTAAAGTAGCAGCAGACAAGCCTTGATTGTCCTTGCTGTTCTGTTGTGTAAAACCTGTTGTACATAAGTACATAAAGTAGGGAATCCAAGCAAAAATGAACTGTCGCAAGCCGAAAGTCAATATCTTACTAAACTCCACGTTTCGCTTGGCTTCCCCTCATTATGTGCTTTACATACTGTTGAGCTTCCAAGTTGAGTGGTCTGTTGCCTTGCGTCATCCAGTTGTAGTGAGACTGGTGTGCCCAATGTTCTTACTAGTCTGGTCATCATCATCCCGTAACGTTCTACATTCTTTGTGGCCAAGGGACACAGCTCGTGCACATCTTCGTGGCGAATCCCTTCCCCTCATTGGAACTTTCCGCACCTGAGCCTTCCAAGTTGGAAGGTTGTTGGTTTGCGCTTCGTGTTAGAGCTAGGTGTCAGGTCGTTGAATTTATCAGTATCCTTGTCAGTGTTGTGCCTTGTTGTCACACTATCTGACTGTATAATTGTATATTATCTCGTTACCTTGTTGTCGCACTGTCTGACTGGATATTATCTCGTTACCTTGTTGTCGCACTATCTGATTGTATATTATCTCGTTACCTTGGTGGAGCTGCATCTGCTCCGTGATCCACAGAGGGTGCTGGCGTCCCTACAGCCATGGCTCGTTGGAAAAATCAAATGAAGCTATCCGTCACGTTTTCAGCACAATAGGCATGTCAGGGCTACGTCCTCTCCAAGCTTCCCTACGATGCCTCAGATTCCCACAACTTCATCTCACCCTGTCGTTCACCTCCTTTCTGAAACTCGACGGATTTTCACGATTCAAAGTGCATTGGAAAGCAGAGATCCAAGCGCTCATTTCCCCACCCATTACACATGTACTGGGACCATGGGAGATCCAAAGGCACCTGAAGAGCCGCTCCGTAAAACACTGGTCGATCGCCAGAGAGATCATATTTTCTAGTTTCTTCTTGTTGCATTCGTTCAAACTTTGCCCTATTGCAAAAACACTTGGCATTTGGCCCCTCTAAAGCCTTACTAATCTGTAGAAAGGTCATGTTCACCTGCCTCTGGAACATGCCACCTCAGCCTGGTCCTACATGTATATCCTTACCAAAGGTGAACTGGAGTGTTTAGATAATTTTATCTTGAAAGGTAGCAAGGATGTTTTAGCTGAGTAAGAAAGTAACCGTGATTAGATAGGTATGAAACAAAATCACAATCAAGTGACCTCTGTGACCTTGAGTCCTAACATTTTTTTTACACAAATCTCCTTTCTAGTTACATAACATTGAACCTTCCTCCACGTCTCTGTCTTTGAGTCCCAGAAGACCGAACAAACTGAATGTTCCTAACTACCGCCGTGTATGTGTTTTCCCCTCTGGTTTTCCACAAAGCCAGCATCGGCCATGGGGCTGTTCACCACCAGTTTTCACTTCTATAACCTGTTTTCCTGAATTCAAACATCCCCTCTTCCAGTACTTTTGCCCATACACTCACTACACTAATGGCATACCAACACCTGCAGCATCATGACTTTCGCAATCACTGTATCTGCTTCTTTGCTTTGTTTCCTTTCTTTGTAACCTGGTACTCTTCTCTACTAAACACATGACATTTCTTTTAGTAGGAGATCACCTCGACATGCCTAGAGCACTATTCTCCACATATATTGAGTTCAGGTGAAAAAGGGTATCACTTAAAAATCATTATTATAATTATTACCGTATGTAAATAATCTACGTGGAGATAAAAGTTTAATAATAGCAATGAAAAGTATGAATGCCGCAGACATCACCACGCAACATGACAATTTGTTCAAGGTTTGGTTTTGTGTGTTTCCAAAATCGATTTTCACGTTCCGATCATCAGTGGAAATACGGAACTAAAGAGATTAAGGGAAAAACAAAGGTTAATAATGTTCACCTGTTCACCCTTCCTCCTGGGCTGTAAGTTTGTTAGCATAGTACTGTAATGGGTAGCCGAGTGGTAGGCGCGGTGAAATCAACAAGAATTACTTTTATTCTACTTCTTTCAGGTACACACCTGAGATATAATTATTAGTGAAAGAAGAAACGGCAAAATAACTGACTTTCTCTCCGGTGCACACCTGGAGGTTGAATAGCTCGTTATTATCAAAATCTCATCTTCTTCAAAACAGAAATGCGCAGCCGCTTTTATGCAGCAGACGCCGTACGCTTACATACGGAGATACACTAAATACACATCAGCCAAAGCTCCGTATTAGTTCCGTACTACTTCCGTATTGGTCGGGCAGGGATACTACAGTACTTATTCCTACATTTATTCAAAACATACGTATGAAGCCCATGGCTTTATACCTGAGACTGGCTTTATAATCGAATATAAGCCCATGGCTTTATAACTGAGACTGGCTTTATAATCGAATATAAGTCCATGGCTTTATAACTGAGACTGGTTTTATAATCGAATATAAGTCCATGGTTTTATAACTGAGACTGACTTTATAATCGAATATAAGTCCATGGTTTTATAACTGAGACTGACTTTATAATCGAATATAAGTCCGTGGTTTTATAACTGAGACTGACTTTATAATCGAATATAAGTCCATGGCTTTTTAAAAAGGTGCGGACATAGGGTATTAGTATTTTTCTCACAACTCCAATTATTAGTATCTTACTGGTATTCCTTCCGCAAACGATAGCATACGGTATAATGCAATGCTCGTCCTGTGGCTGTGAATTATCCCCAAGATATTGACTGGAACAATCCTCCAAGTCTTGATAGATAGTAACGGTGTTGTCAGAAACTTTTAAATTGTTCCAAACATTGCGAAAGTGAAGTTTATCAAGCAATCTTGTGTAGCTGATATGGACTGACACCTTTCCAAGTATTCCCAGTAGCATAGCTTTGCAGGCTGTAACTTGAGGAGAACTGACCAGGTGGCTGCCGAGTGTCTGGCAGAACTCTTCACCTGCAACCCAGCCTTTGGCGGTATTTGTAACAAACACTTCACCTTCATTGCCACAATCCACCCACGTGTTCACTGTATTAACACAAAGAAAATGTATGAACAGCAATGAACACAACAGCAATGAATAACAAGATATGCATACTCGTGTAACAAAACAAAGTAGAAAAAGTTTGGTTCCAGAACGTTTTCTTCCACAAAATAAATGGAATACTCTTGCTTAGCAAATGTATTCAATGTCAGGTGTGTGTGCACGTGTGTGTGTGTGTGTGCGTGTTTGTGTGTGTGTTTGTGTGTGTTTGTGTGTGTGTGTGTTTGTGTGTGTTTGTGTGTGTGTGTGTGTGTGTGTGTGTGTGTGCATGTGTTCATGTGTGCACGTGTGTGCATGTGTGCACGTGTGTGCATGTGTGCACGTGTGTGCATGTATGTGTGCATGTGTGTGTGCTTTCCTGTGTGCGTCCGTATGTGCATGTGCTCGTTGGGGATGTTTGTGATTTTTTGCCCCCGTTTTCTGGAAGTTGCAGATACTTTTACATTTCGTGATGGCCTGAGGTATCCCTCCTTGGGCCGCCTCTAGGCCAGGGGAAGCGCTTGACGGAGGGGTTCACACAGCTGAGAGCCAGGACAGTGTTTTCGTGCCGTCACTTTCAGTTATGACTGACGTCGCCTGTCGCGGAGGTTTGTCAAGGTTTTAAGCTTAACCCTTTGAGGACCGAGGACGAGATAACTCGTCCAAGAAATGGGCGCTGTGCTCCCGAAGATGAGTATACTCGCTCCTCCTGCCATTGCATACATTTGTTCAGTGCATATGTAGCGGACCGCAGTCTCTCGGAGGCAAGAACGCACAAGGGTCTCAGTGAACACACTGTAATTGGCAATTGAAATGTACTGGCAACGAAATTAACTATATCTGGCAACTAAATTAACTAACTGGCTATAAAAGAATCGTGCGCAGCAGCTTTGATACAAAGGCAGACCCCGTACGCTAATGTACGGGGATACAGTACGGGGATATGCTATACTCTAATCACTATACGCTTTGAAGTCCCCAGCGTGCCAACGCTACACCTCCCCCTCAAAGACAATCACGTCCTCGTGATTAGTAGCGGTTTGGTGGGCGGATCAATTGGCGGTTCCGGAGATTGTGGGGGTGAACACCAGTAAGATTGAAATGAAGAATGTAAACGCGCTTATCAGCAGTCACAAAGCAACAGTACAACACATACACATACAGAGTGTGTTGAACAATTGACTCTCTGTTGAAGTGCCACATTTCAAAACCAGACACTATTTCCAAGATAATTTTTTTCCGAAAATGGTGGATGGAAAAATAAATCTTGCGTGGCCGCTTTGCCCTGCCTCGTGTCAGCAAAGCAACTTCCTTGTCAACAATTTCTGTCATCCAGTTAGTCAAAGTGACTCAAGGTCGTGCTTTCTCCCCTCCCTCCCGCCCTTTAGACATGACACTTTGGTATCTTGTGCCACGTGACGAGGCCCCAAGGAGGGTCAAATGCATTTGCCTCTCAGTGTTGTGCTGTACTGTCTCAGTGTTGTGACACCTGTATGTTGTTGTGTGGTTGACCCGCCGGTTTGAGGCATTGGTGGTCAACTGTGAATGTTGTATCGGTGTGTTCCCGTTTGAAGTTGCCGGGCCACCATGTGGTTGACCCGCCGGTTTGAGGCATGGGTGGTCAACTGTGTCTGTTGTATCGGTGTGTTCCCGTTTGAAGTTGTATCACGCACTCTTAAGTTGCCCATGCTCAGAACTGCCTTTGCCCGTCATGGCGCTTCCTTCCAATGTGCTAAGCTGTGGAATGATTTGCACCCTCTAGCTCGCTGTGTGGATAACTCCGCCCGTTTTAAGAAACTGTTACCCCAATGCCTTGCTTTTTCACGCTAGTAATTATGACTTTCAGCTATGCAAAATGCGAACATGATCACCTATCCAATACCGGTAGTCTATTATTATATTAATTATTCATATCTTTTTGCATCTTTCCCTCGAGTGGGTCTATTGTTATTAGGCAATTGTCTGTTATAGTCACCACTATAAATAAAAATCCAATCCAAAAAAAATCCAAGTTGCCGCGCCACCATGTGGTTGACCCACCGGTTTGAGGCATGGGTGGTCAACTGTGTCTGTTGTATCGGTGTGTTCCCGTTTGAAGTTGCCGGGCCACCATGTGGTTGACCCGCCGGTTTGAGGCATGGGTGGTCAACTGTGTCTGTTGTATCGGTGTGTTCCCGTTTGAAGTTGCCGGGCCACCATGTGGTTGACCCGCCGGTTTGAGGCATGGGTGGTCAACCGTGTATGTGTATCATTGAAGTTGCAATACGTACATTGCTGTGACTCGCCCGATTGCTGTTGCCGGGCACCTACGCATTTATTTGCCTACTTGTGAAGAGATATCTCTTCTGGTTTATTGCATAATTCTTGGCTCAATGTTATCCACGGTGTCGCTCGATGCAAAGTCTCGTAAATATTTATCAGACAAAATTGAAAAAAAAAAACTATGGCAAACCCCACTTCCTTGTATTCTATCTGCTTGGTGTACATGTGTCCACGTGTTGTACGTTTGGCACGCACATGCGTGTGTGTGTGCGTGAGAGCGTGTGGATCAATGTGCATATTGATGTTTTGTTTGTTTTAAGTTTTATTGTGTGTATGCGCGCATGCATGTAGGTTAAGTATAATTATTGCGATTTGCTACTTCAAAGTACATTTTACAGGGCTGTGGGTGTAGTACCCATCGCTATTGATGTTACAGTTGCACTCCCACCTTTGTCTTGTCTGCTTTAGTGCAGATATGATTGCAGCTGCACTTCTTACCCTCACACTTACTGTTGTGCCAGGCCAGTTGCACCGACTTGGGAGGTGAGGCAGCGGACATGGCAACAGGAAATTTTCAAACATTGAAGCCAATTGCAAGTATTTCAGGGCATTTGGCGCCATTTCAGTGTAACTACAATGAAAGACTTTTAATTCTGCAATAAACCAAGAATACTCTACAAAAGGGGACACTGATTCTTTGTTATTCTTTATTCTTTATTTGCGCTGAGCTGCGATCAGCGCGCTTTGTTGCAGTACGCTCCAAACAAATATGTACTTGTATATTGGCCGGAAAAGTGAGGCCACCCCAGCCACCCCAGCCGTGACCCTCTTGTGCGCTATCTCATTTGTCATGGATCCACCTTTGGGCTAAGCTCTCCCTTACATTGCCTCCTTGCGCATCCTGTCGCCCTGGCCTGCATGCACTTCGTACATAGCCTCCCATACTGCTGTTCTCACCTTTTGTTCCCTTACCGGCGAAGTAACAGTTATCGCTGTGGACAATGAAATGCGGTGGAATGAGCAAGGCCGGCACCTTCCATACACACACTGTAGTTCACGTTTTCACACTGCAATAACTGGACCAGCAGTGCTCACGTCTGCACGGCCAGCACCCCATGGCTGCTTCAGTTCAAAACAGATTTCAATATGCACCACAGTACATAGGGAGTGGTTGTGTTTGCATCAGTAGGATTTTCTATACCAGGGATCTACTAGTAGTCATAACTCATTTATACATTTATACTGGGTTTCATTCCAGAACCTTTTCTTCACTTTTTAACCATTTTCTTTGCTTCTTTATGATAATTTCTTTAGTGGAGTATGCAAGAAGCAAAAACAGATAGGTTGAGTTACCTTTCTTTCTTTTCTTCGGAAATTTATCCGGTGTGAAGCACGGCGCTGACCGAAATTTTGTAAATCTCGGACTTTTCGTGAAGATTCACTAAACCCTGTGACACGGACTTGGAATTCACTACAGTACTCAGAATGCAGAGCCGTCCTACCAGGTACTTGTACTTTGTTCTCGTTCTTGGCCGTGCACGTGTCCACATATAGCACAAACAACAGCAGCTGAATCATCGTCGAAACGCAATCCTTGTGGCCACTAGTCACACTTAGCATAGTACTTGACTTCCAACTGTCAGCATTCTGACTTTTCCACTTCACCACCAATACTTCGTACCCTGAAGTGGATCTAGTTCTAGCTCTCAGCAAGGCTGCCTATGAGTCAATCGACTAGAACATGTTCGATTTGGTGGACGGATCCAAAACTACCTGATACGATATACACTGACTCTTGCACTACATAGCCCCTACTGTAGGCGACAACCACCTCCGTGGTTTGGAAAAGAAAAAGATTTTGCCGGATCAGATTTTACTGAAAGGGTGACCAAATAGCTGTCTCGCAAGTTGTAATAAAACTCATGAAGTAGTGGACTCTACAGTGATGAGTCTATCCTGTATGTTGCAAAAGACGCAGGAAACGTGACTGGTGTCTGTACACTGGACGCCAACATCCCAGTCTCCTCCTGCACGATCTGTTTGACATTGACATTAGGCCGCGGTCACACCAAGCTCGATTCAGCCATTCAGCCGAAAATGTCCTGCAAGCGACTTTCAGGCGCGTGGCTGACTCTCAGCCGTTATTTCCGCTTGTTTCAGGCTCAGCTTATACAAGCAGCTGAAAGCCGAAATTCAAAGACAAATTTGAGTGTGCTTGCAAGCTTGGAACACACCATGTAGTGGACATGAGGAACTGATATTGATGCTCTTTCTTGTTTCCGCGCTATGCCTTTGCCTTTGGTTTTGACTGTGTGACTCTCTCAATCCAACAGTTTAGTTAGATTTTCTCCGATAACCATGGATTCCCGGACTGTGCCTCTAGAGCGTAGCGTTTTGGATCTGTGGTTCGAGGCCAAGACAAGGCACCAAACTCACGACTGAATTCATGAAGAACTTGACCCGGGTACGAAGAAAAGAGTGGATTGCGACGGAGTTGAAGAACAGCAACCGTCGGAGCAGAAAGTTCAACATCACAAAGGTAACTCGGTTAGTGCGGATGCAGTTTTTGCCTCTCCCCAGATTTGAAATTTTCCATCGTGTAGGTTCATTCTACTGGCACGTAACTTGCCCTATTACCTTCCATTTGACTTTTTAAGTCGGCTGCAGTGGTTTTATCCGTGGTGATTTGGCCTGCTCTGCTATTCTTGAGACCCAGGTGATTCATTGTCCTGCCAGTTCTCCA